AGGGTCTTAGCGGCCCAAGCGCCGCCTGGCCCGAGCTGGCCGGCCTGTGCTGGCCGGGCGGAGCGCGCCGCGGCGCGCCCGTGCGCGTGGCTGGCGCCGGGAGGCTCGTTTCGACTCCTCTCCGGTTCGGTTCGACTTCGATCTCGATGGCGTCCGATTCCACTTCGATTCTCAAAGGAGGTACCCATACATCTACCCTTTCCTCGTTTGCCCCTTTTCGGGCCTCCTCGGAGGCCCTCGTCGCCACCGTTGGATTCGCCTCGCAATGCTGGCCAGAACGCACCGCAGGAGAGGTCAGGGGAGTAGCGGTATCGGTACCTTTTGGTTTCCCCAGATTCGACTTCGGATTCCAATGTTGATTCCGATGTCTCATCGGAGGCCTATCAGCCCGCCGATTTCCGCCGAGCCGGCTTCTCCCGACTCGGTTGCCAGTTTCCGCCGGTCCGATTCGTGTGGATCGCCGATCCGTTTCATCGACTCCATTTTGGGCACTCTTGCGCCAGCAGGCGATGATCTACATCTTCAGGAGCTGCGAAGCGTGCACGAACGGGTGCGGCAAGGCTGTCGGTGCCGTGTGCAACCCCCTGTGCAGGGTGCTCGACAGGCCGCTCGGGAGCTACGCCTTCCTGACGGGGGCGGTGAACGCGCTGTCGTGTCTGCTGGCGATTCTGTCGCTCGGTGATGACATGAGGTGCTCCAGCGGCGAGTCCGCGGCTAACCTGTTCGCCATGATGAACGTGGCGGCCAGCATAGTCCACGCCGGTTTCGCGCTTTACTTGCAGCAGAGGCTGGTGAGAGGGCTCCAGCGGAACGCCGCGCTCGGCAACCACGGCAGCACCGCCAGGCAGCTCATGAAGGAGGCGGGCGACATCGTGCTCTACGACGTCGGCTTCTGCCTGTACGTCTTCTTCTTCGTCGCCGCCTTCTTCGTTCAGTTCTGGGGCTTCTCGGTGCTGGGCGGGTGCAGGGATGCGGGCACGGCCTGGGGCTCCGCGACCCTGCAGGTGCTGTTCTGCCTGGGCGCGGTGGCCTTCGGCTTCTGCTGGTCGTGCGCCATGCAGTGCAGCGACTGCTGTGGCCTCTTTTCGCCGGGCGCCGCGCGGCAGCCGCTGTCGGGGGGGCTGCCGGGCCAGCCCCAGCCGCAGCGCGGGCCCGTGGGGCTGACGCGGCTCATCGTCGGCAGCTCGAACATGACGGGGCCGCCGTCCCTCCACGCGGGGGCGGTCGTGATGGGCACGCCTGTCCAGCGCGGGCCGTGCCATGGGGGTCACCACCAGGGGGCCGCAACCTCCTTCTGCGGGTCGAGGATCGAGGATCGAAGATCGAGGATCGAGGATCGAGGATGGAGGAGGAGGATCGAGGATCGAGGATAGAGGAGGAGGAGGAGGAGGAGGAGGAGGAGGAGGAGGAGGAGGAGGAGGAGGAGGAGGAGGAGGAGGAGGAGGGGTCGAATGCCGAGGAGGTTTTCTACTCTCAGTTTGGTGGTGGCCCCGTGAGGAGCGGGTGCCATCCCCCCCTGCGGTGGGTTCGCGCCGCGTGGGGACGCGGCCGCAGCCCCTGCGCTGGCGTTCGGGGCTCAACCTCGCCAGGTGGTCGTTTTCTTATTTTTTGTTTTGCCGATCGGCGCGGGCCTTCGCACTCGCCCATTCCCCCCCCAGCCCCATGGAGTAGGTCTTGGCTGTTTTTGGCGCCTGTTTCGAGCAGGTGGAGTCTCCCCCATGGGACACACTGTTGCAAACAGTCGCACTAAGCAGATGTCCGGAGCCAGACCCCCCCCCTTCCACCCCATGTCGAAACGCCGAGTAAGAACACGTTCACCAGTGGTCCAGACTCGGCTGATATCGAAAGATCTGCGCTCCAGGAAAGCGACCCGCGCGGTGCCAGAGGCCCATTGCCGACGCCATCGCGACGTGAACCCACCGCAGCGGCGACCCCCTCTGGCAGTGCCGGCCCAGCCGCCAGTCCAGCCGTACGCGGCCTACCAGCCGGGTGTTGCCAACGGTGTCCTTGGCCAAAGGTGGCCCCAGGACAGGGCTCGTTTCGGTTCTGTTGACTGGATTCGATTCGATCTCGATGGCTTCCGATTCCGAGTCGATTCGACTTGGATTCGGATTTTGGTTTTTCAATGGAGGCCTGCTAGCATGCCAATTTCCGCGGATTCGACTTTTCCGATCGGGCTGCCGATTTCCGCCGATTCGATTCATTTCGATCGCCGATCCGACTTGTTGATTCGATTCTGGGCTCTCCTGCTAGGATCCCCGAGGAGTCCCAGGTGGCCTTCGGAGTACCCCTCGCGAGGCCCAGAGGGCCTCAGGGCGGAGCACCTTGGGCCCAGGCTCCGGACGTCGGACGTTGTGTCTTCTTCCTGACGCGGACCGCGAGAGGCCTGGACCCCTTCTGGGCACCGCCGTTTCATCCTGAGTTGTTTTCTCCCAGCCATCCTGTGGTGTTGAGTCCTCGTCTTGAAGAGACAGCGCCCCGCGCTCCTTCCTCCTTCCTCCCCCCCTCCATCCTCTCCTCCTCCCCTTCCTCCCTCCTCCCATCCCTGCCCCTCTTCCCTCCGCATGTCAACCATGTCGGCACACCCTTGACGCGCTCCGTGACTCCATAGGGAGCTCCACCGAAGGCTCCAGTGGCACAGCCCGCATGACGCGTCCCGAGTCGTTTGTTTGCTGGTCCCGATGCCCAGCAAGGGCCCCCAGAGGCCGACAACTGTACGGTGGGGGCGGTGGCTAAGGAATGCGATGCCGCAGACCCTGGAGGATGCCTTATCTGAGGAGGGCGGCGGTGACATCCACGGCCAAGCCTCGATTGGAGTTCCACGGGTCTCCAGACCCTGGATTCCATATTATTCAAGGACTTCTCATCAATGCTTCCTTTTTTTCAGTTTTTTCATGTTCTTATCCTCTCTTTTTTTATTGCCCCTCTCGCTGTATTAAATTAGTGGGGTGAGGTAAGATTTGCCATTTTTGGTATCAAAATGCAATACGACCTTTCCTTTCACTGAGGCCCCCTCATATTAAAGGAAAATCGATCTGCACTTTTGTAATTTACCCCAGGTGGAACCCAAACCCATTCAAGTTTCAAACTTTTAGGGTTTTTCCCTGCGGGCCGCCCGTCGGGATCTCTTGACGACCCGAGGGGCTCCGGGGCCTCGGTGGCACAGCCCGCAGGACGCGTCCCGAGTCGCTCGGTTGCTGGCCCCGAGGCCCAGCAGGGGCCCCCTCGAGGCCGCCACCTGTACCGGCCGCCCGCCGGGACCCCTTCACGACTCTGGACGCCGGAAAGGTGTACGGCCGAAGTGGGTGCGGAAATGGGTACGACTCTTCACGACAGGGGGGTCTCTTCACGACAGGGGGGTCTCTTCACGACAGGGGGGTCTCTTCATGACAGGGGGGTTCTCTTCACGAAATGGGTACGAAGTGGGACCTCTTCACGACTCTGGACGCCGGAAATGGGTGGGTACGACTTTTCACGACTCTGGACTCCAGACGCCCGAAGTGGGTGCGGAAAGAATGGGCACGATGCCCAACGACAAATGTTGCCTCAAACCAACAGCGGCCGCTGTTGGGCAGGCGGCCTTCTGTCTCGAATGGACACAGGCCGCGGCGGCGTGGACAGCAAGTCCTGTTCCTGTTCATTTTGAACAGGACTCGCTGTCCGCGCCGCCGCGGCCTGTGTCCATTCGAGACAGAGGGCCGCTTGGGACAACATTTGTTGTTGGGCATTGTACCCTTTCTTTCCGTGCCCATTTCGGGCGTCCAAAACGACCCGAGGGGCTCCGGGGCCAGGGCCACCTCCTAGCCACACCCGGGCCGGCCGCACGGCGCCTCAGTCGCCCCCTCCGCGCCGCCGCCGGAGCCAGAGGCGCCGACGCCGCCGTCGTCGTCGTCGTCGTCGTCGTCGTCGTTGTCGTCGTCGCCGCCGCCGCCGCCGCCGCCGCCGCCGCCGCCGCCGCCACCGCCGAAGCCGGAGGCGTCGCAGCAGCCCAAGCCAGCGCCGGCCGCGGGGGCCGGGGCGGTGGCCGCGGCCAGCGCGCTGGGCCTCGCGGGCAGAGGCCTGCAGGCGGCCGGCAGGTTCATCGGGCGGGGCCGGTGAGGCTCTGGTGCCAGCCATCCTTGCTCACATCCTCTGTCTTTCTCCTCCTCCTCCTCCGCCTCCTCCTCCTCTCTCCTCCTCTATCTCCTCCTCCTCCTCCTCTACTTCCATCCTCCTCCCCTATCTTCTCCTTTTGCTCGTCCTTCTCTTCCTGGTCCTCCTCGTCCTCTCCTCTTCTTCGTTGAGAGGACATGAGGTATGGCCTGTTGCGTTCTTCTCCTTCTCCTCCTCCTCCTCCTCCTCCTCCGTCTCTCTCTCCTCCTCCTCCTCCTTCTTCTGTCCTCCCCGTCCTTTCGTTATACCGACGGTGATCGAAGCGATCGCCGTGTCTAATCGCTCGTACCGAACAACAAGTACGACACAAACACACACACACACACTTTTGGCGTCGGCGGCTATGCAGAGTGATTGCGCTGGCGATGTCGCACTAGTCACACACACTGACACACACACATACATTCACACATACACACGCACGCACGCACGCACGCGCAACATACAACACACAACACACAACACATAACACACAACACACAGCACGCAACACACAACACACATAACACAACACACAACACACAGCACACACAACACCCAACACACCACACACAACACACACGCAGCACACACAACACACAACACGCAACACGCAACGCACACTACACACCACAAACCACACAGCACACGCAACATAGACAACACGCAACACACAACACACAACACGCAACACATACTACACAACACACAACACACAACACACATAACACACAACACACACCACACAACACACAATACACAAGACAGACACAACACACAGCACATACAACACACAACACACACAACACAAGCACGCACGCACGCACGCACGCACGCACGCACGCACGCACGCACGCACGCACGCACGCACGCACGCACGCACGCACGCACGCACTCACGCACTCACACACACACACACACACACACACACACACACACACACACACACACACACACACACACACACACACACACACACACACACACAC